AAACAAACGGAAATTATTCTCCCTGGATGGGAGAAAATATTTTCCATGGAAAATATTTTTCTACCACTTTTGTAACCAAACGGTGGAAAATGCAATCAAAATTTTCTGGGACAATATCCCCCCCCCCAAACCAAACACACCTTTAAAGAATTATCTGAACATTGAAGCTTAGGGAGAACATGGTGCAAGACAGAAAAGAATGAAAAACGAGAATATTAACAGAAGACAGCATTGTAGCCTGCCCATAGAATTCTTTTTGTTGGACAAACAGTTCTAAGAGTAAGGCCTTATTATAACCTAGCTAGAAGAAATTTAGCTTAACGCACTTTGAAAAAACATTTGTAGCGCAGAACCCTATACATTTTCTGGGTATATTCATGACCTTCCAACTGTTGACTTAATTAAATATCCGCTACTTTAATAGGTTCTGTGGGGAAAACATGCATCCAAAAAATGAGCTCCTTAACCCAATTATCTTGAGATGCACTACACTATGGCTTAATGACCACATACCAATTGAAAACAGGCTTAGAGAAAAACAATATATAATAAAACTTAAAACCACCACAAATTCATGAAAAAGGAAGTGGTGAAACCTGCATAAACTCATCGCGAACAGAAAATATGGGCAAATACTGCCTCTGCTGTGAGATTGTTTTGGATTTTGCAAAGTCACTCACTGCTTCCCCTTTCTTTAAGTGTTGTGAAAACCTAGCTTCTTCCTTGAAATCAACCTCACCTTGTTCACCCACTGCAGCAGTATCTGCATCAATCTAGCATAGCATTTAAACAGAACTTCAGATATAGGATTCTGGCCTTCGGCCTTCTTTGAGTAATGAGCTTCATATATCACAATATGTTACCTGTTCAGCTGTTTTTTCAACCCCCAAGATGTCACCAAGTTTTGATCCAGCAAGTTCCCAAAACCGTTGACGAGATTTATGCATGCTTTGTTTTTCATGTATTTCACGAACAAGCGAAGATCCTTTCCGCGATATTATGGCCATGTCTGATGTGGGGTCCTTGATAGGCATTACTGGTTCAGCTTGCTTTGTGAACACAATTCTTCCATCCAGAAAAGGGGGTTTTGTATCTGGTGCATGAATTACAAAAAAAAAACATAAGAAAAATAAGCTATTATTTTCTCTAGAAAGTAGAAACTGAACTTATTTGGTAACTGAAACTGATGGGGTGTGAGGGATTCATACCATGAACAAGGAGAATAACCTTCCTTTCATCTTCATCATCAAATTCTGTTTGCACCTCAGTGCCTTTAACAGCTCCAGATCTTAGAAGCTGACGGTCTTCCCACTGAGCATTGTCTGCAGTTAGCTGTGACAGCTTCTTGCTCTGAGCAAGTGACATCTTAGAGCCATCTTTTCGAGTCTGTTCAGAAGTCAAATAGAGTGAAAGATGTTAGCAATTCAGCTGGCATTACCAACAAAACGAACCATGTTTTAATTTCAAAACACCTAGAGTGGCTAGTTAAATTTACCAACAAAAACCCTAAAAATCATAAGACAATGATAAGTTGAGCCAAAGGCAAGTTTACCATAAAACTCTAGTTTATGAATAACTCAAGGAATTGAAGGAAAACTAACTAGACTTTAATATTAAAGTGAACAACAACAACAACAACAAACCGAGTAAATCCCACTAAAAGTAGGGTGTGGAGAGGTTGTGTGCACGTAGACCTTACCCCTAATGGGCTTAACATTATACCTTGTGAACTGTTAAGTGGTTTTTGTGCATAGGTGATTCCTACATGGGTAACATGGCAGTAATTTTTAACAAAGATCAAGAAAGCTCCGTAAAGTAGACTAGATATAAACATCAAAAAATCAAATTATATATATATATATATATACATATACATACATTATATATTACCAATGCAAATAGTGAACTAAAAATGGTGGCACACAAGCTTATCCAGAAATATGCAATATGATTAAGATCAGCACCTTCTTTCCAGATATGATATGATTAATATTTCCAAAGAACACTTACAAGTCTTTTAGCCAGCTCAGCCTCTTTCTTCTGAAAAGATGCCTCATCACCTAAAAACAGTGTTGACCTATCCATGTCAAACGTGCTGCTTCCTTCTTCTCTGTCGTACCTGTACAGTGAAAGAGCTAATAATTAAAAGGCCACAAGATGAAGATATATAACATTATAGTTTGTTGTAAAGGGTTTTTGGTGATAAACTAATACCAGGCACGATCAGAGTTGTACTCCATCTCTAGACGCATACTTTCAGAGATCTCATGATTGCTGTCTTCAGACCCAAGTGTATTGTCATCTCCTTCCTGGAGGCAGCAATGAGAAAAATATACAATGACACTATGTTAAAGCATATGCAATGCAATTTTTTTGCTTTCCATATCCTAGCAGCGTAAGGCAATCTGTAAATGTTTACAGGAAGGAAGTACTAATCATTTTACATAATCAATACAGCCAGTATGCATGCAAATAAATCAACGAAAACAAGTGAAACAAGAAGCTGTAAGCCTGTAATTTATTTAACTGTAGGTCTGCTAAAGGTCAACTCAAGGTCTTCAATAGTGCCTACTATAGAGATATAGGTCTACGGATAGGTCTGCTAAGATAAATATTTCTGCAATACGCAAAGAGATACCTCAGACATGGTGACATTAGTAGAAACAGACCCCCGAATAGATTTTCCACCATATCGAGACCCTGAAGTCCTCACAGAAGAGCCAGATGCTCGTATTGGAGTTGGCGATGGAGCTACACTGTCCCAAGGAGAAGCAGCCCCTGTAGATATTCAAAATGTTGCTGGTTAAATCATATCAATATCTTTTTTTATGTCGAGTTCAGCCATGCTACCCAGCAATCAGAACTAGTGGGATAATAATTTACCAGAGCGAGGAGTATGGCCTCCCAACCATGGGGAAACAAGTCGCGCATCAGGTGAGGCTCCAATATACATTGGCGATGGAGAATGATAATGGCTACTCCTATTACGGTTGGAAAAACTGTCCCGGCGAGGGGTATCTTCCCACTCCGAGTTGCCATCATCCCAGCTAGAGCTTCCTGCAATACGTCAAGAGTTCCATTGTAACAAACCGTAAGAATAAGAATGCATTTCACATAAAAAGTAACTAGTGAAAGCGTCAAATAACTGTGGGTGTTCCTAAAATAAGACATAAATGGTAGACAAAAAAATCCAATATCTTGCGAGGGCAACACTATTTCCATAAAATAACTATAAGATTTTGTTTTAATTATTATTATTATTATTATTATTATTATTATTATTATTATTATTATTATTATTATTATTATTATTATTATTATTATTTGGGGGGGGAGGGTCATTGAAGGACTCTATCAGGTCCAAATTGTAAAACATTACCAAACGTAATAAATGGGGATGATGATGAAGGTAAGATAAAACTTCTTTTCTTTTGTTGTCGTAATTAAGTAAAGTTCTAGTATGAACCACAAAGCGCTTATTTATTTATTTAAAATACTTAAGTATAATTGGGGTCCCTTGGCCATCCCTAGAACTTTACCATTACTATTTATCATCCAACTAAGGAGGACACTTCATGAGCTAACAAATGAAGATATACCCACCGTGTGTGTTCCTGGGGCTTTCATATCTACTTCGTTTCCTACTGCTGTCATCATTGTACTCTCTTCCAAAACTGCGTGATGATTCCCTACGCCGATGATCTTCGCCATAATTGCTGTCCCTTCTAGTTTTGCTCCTATAATCATCCCTTCTTGATCTTCCCGTAGAATGAGTTGAAGCCTTAAATTAAACGGTTACTCATTCACACTATGGCAATTGACAACAACAACAAAACTAACAGACATGGGATAACAAGAAAATTGGCTGGAAAAAAAGACAAGTTGATGCAAAGCAGATAAACATATTGGTTAATAGGATCATTAAAAATTGTGCCCAGCATAGTGACACGTACTCATACAGATAGGTATCATCCTAATGATTTGGAAAATTCTATACTCTTCAGTTAATTGTTTATTAAAACATTTAGGCATCAACAACTAATAAAATAAAAAGATACATGATAGGATACAGAAACAGATGCACAGAAACAAATGAGTGCTTAATCCCCCATCTCACATCCAAACAAAACATACACATACTCACACTTATTAAGACATTTAACCATTACCGCAGGTGCACTATAAGAGTAAAATTTTAAAAAGAAAAAAATACGTGGTAATGATTTTTATTTGGATCGAATGAGTGCTTGATTTCCCCACCCAAAGGCCCAAACAAAAAACCCACAACAAAGTCACACACACACACACACACACACAAAGCTGACATCTCAGCACCATCAAGATAAGAGGCAATGACAAATTACAACAAGATACTAGGAACCAAGATGTAGATTTTGCAGACACGGAACATAAATTTGCCCCAACTGCATCATAGTTTTTCCTTGATAACATTTAAGATCCATTCAAAAGAAAACTACAACACAACTTCACATGTCCAGAAAAGAAAAATGGGTTATAATACCTGATGGTGTTCATCAGGAAGAGGCTTTAAGAGTGTTCTGTTTTCTCGCCCTACGGTTACTGTAATACCTGAAAATAAATATAAATTTATGAAGCAATGGGTTAAGAAATCTTATAGAGTAGGTGAGGAGCTAACAACTCTCTGAATGAAGACTTAATACTTGCATGTCAATGGAGTTCAAGTGTTTAGAATTTGAGGGTCTAGTAATATAAACATCAAAGAGCATCACAAGTAGTTTATACTACGTAAATAGGTAGCATATCCAAGGCAAACGCCTTTGGCAGAAGAAGTTTGTTTACGTGAGCGGACATTTTTCACATCCCAGTTCCCACTCTTTTCTCATTATCTCAACCCAGTTAGCACAAGTAAAATGCCATTGCTTTTTCCCTTTTAAGAAATCCATTGTACCAAAAGGAACTTGAAACCTTCATAGAAATAAATGCACACCTGTACAATTGCGTACCTGAGGTAGAATCATCGCTAGCAAGATGATCACGATATCGCCTACTAGTGTGACCACGTGAACCACGAGATGGACCATCTTCTATTTCTCCGGTCACAGTAGAAGTGTCTTCACATTCATCTATAGCTGACACAACAGATGCTACCCTTTCTTTTGGGACTTTAAATGAGTTGTCTACTGTAGATCCTTCTCTTTTTGTACTAGCTAGTACATCAAGCCCTAAATGTCATGTACGACTTCAATTAGCTCTGATTACAAAATAGTGGTATGATACATAGGCATCTTAATAATAAAACTGAGCTCAGCAATGAAAAATAATGGACATAGATATGCATCTAATAAAATTCCATGCTGCCAAGAGGCATCTACCAGTGACTAAAATAATTGGAAGCAAATGTGCATATTTGAGGACCACAAGTGGCCATTTTTTCCTGATAATAAAAAGCAAACTTTGGCAGTCACGTGCAAGTGCAAGTGTGCAATTATTTGACCCAATGTAATCCACATGCCATTCAAAGTGCATGATGGTCAACATAGTGAAAGTTCTAATAAAACTTGAATATTCTTCAGTTTTAATTAAAATATTCTTCTATTCTTCTCCTTTCAGTAAGATTCTTCACAGTTCCCACTCAATCCAAAATTCCATACACCCTATAAATGATAAAATGAGTAAACTTTTCTTGTCTCAAAAAAAAGAGATAATAAAAAATCATAGAATGAACAAAAAGAATTACCAAAAAGTGATTTGCGCTCGGGTTGTTTAAAAACAACTCGATCTTTCCCAGGTATATACAAACCGCCACCGCCGACACTATCAGGTTCCAAAGTAGTAGTTGTGGTGTCCATATTTATTGGTCCAATGCCCTCCTGCTATCCAATTTTCTGAATGCAAAAACATATTCAAGATCAACCAAAGTTTAAGAAGCAAACACATAAATAAAGGAAACTCAATTCATTTACACTCATCTGCATGTTCCGCTGGAATCCAATTACAACAACAAACCCAATTAAGTCCCACCGAATGTAGGGTCTCAGGAGGGTATGTGTATACGCAGTCCTTACTCCCACCCGAAAGTAGAGAGACTGTTTCCAAGAGACCCACTACTCAAAAAAGAAGCACAGATAAAAAGTAAAAAGTAGACAGAATACCATGTCGATTAAAGAGCAAAGATGCTAAAACCACAAGAAATTACACGCAAGACTTTAGCAACAAGACCCAAAACAAGGACGCCCACGAACACTAGCTCAAGACAAGGCACAAATATACAAGCAGGCACAAACACACTAGCAAAAACGACAAATGAGGGTCCAAAAGCCTATCCAACTACTCTAGTTCCAGATCTCCAATAGTTCTGGATCTCCATACGTCTCTATCTAAGGTTATATCCTTGGTGATACCCAAAAGTCAAAGGTCATGTCTAATCACATCATTTTGTTTCTTTCCGGGCTACCCCCTCTCACACCTACAACCACAAGCCTCTCTCACTTTCTAACTGAGGCATCTACATTTCTCTTCCGTACGTGCCCAAACCATCTCAGCCTAGAAATAGATTTCTAATTGAGCCCAAAAATGGGTTACCTTGAAACATATCAGATTAATGCTTGTGGGTGGTTGATAATGCCACAATGCTATAAGAGAGACAAAGAGCAAGATATTGATTTAGCAAGTAATTTAAAGTATTTAACTAAACCAAAAGTGTGTGCCAAGTGTGCATGCATGCTTATGTGTCCAACTAATTGATAGTAAGCCAACATGGGGATCTGATGAAGGGATGAGTATGTACGCAAGTGGAGTAAGTAGAGATAGAGAGAGCACAAAAAGAGTGTTATTGCTTCTATTTTGGAGTTGTTTACCAATTGACTACAACACATCATCATTTAGGACATGAAAAAATTAGAACTAACAGAGAAAATAGTCGAATAGGGTTCCTAATAAGCCAAGCTTGGGATCGAATAGGGATAAGTATGTATGGAAGTAGAGCTAGAGAGAGCACAAAAGGAGTATTATTTCTTCCATTTTGAATCCGTTTACAAAGAAGACGAGGGGGTATTTATACTACTCTGTCGTGTAGCGTTTATCTGTGTAAAGATTGGGTTGGTTCTTTCAGACACATACGTGTTTCCCTCACTCTTTTTTTATGTCTAGCATGGGGTAAATCCCATTGAGGAGCATCGAGAAGACGAGAACAACATCTTGGTGTGTCATAGAGTGCTTGTTTGCAGTGTTTGAAATATGACTGGTGGGAGGGATGTGGGACTGTGGGAGTTGAGATCGCAATCACCGCATGGGGTATGAAATATGAATGCTGAATTCCTGCTCTAGTTGGCCAACCAGACCTCTCTAAGTCATCCAGGATGATTGTAACTTGTGAGGTCAAATCTTTGGGGATGATGAGAGTGTTAAAGGTCCAAAGAGTCAGTTCATGACTTAAAAGGGCCCGGTTCAAAAAAGGGGCCCTATTGTATCAAATAAATGAAAATTTAAAAGAAGTTTCATACTAATTATTAGATTTGTTACAATGAATTATACAGCAACAACAAAACATGGATACAAGATTATTTATTTCTACTTCTTCCAAACTCTCACATTCAATCGATATCAAGGCCATTCTGTTCAGTCTCTCTTGCGGCATAGTTGAATGCAAGTAATTTTTCAATAATTTCAACTTTTAAAAATTTATTTCCGCTGGTGAACTTCTTGGATCATATATATGAACTAAAGCAGATTTGTTAGTATTATCCGTATTAAAAGGTGAACCCGTTTCAGTATTTTCAACATCAACATATTCAACTTGATCAGTTTTATCTAAACTTTCAACAATGTTGACATCACACTCATCTACAACTAGAGTATTTCCTAGGAACCAATATACAAACATAAAAAAATATTCCGTATGAGAAACAAGGATGTGATTTGACAAATGGATTCATTGCATTCTTGGCAGCTTGCAGAATGCAAAATTTTCTAAGTGTTTGGGAGTCAAAATGTGATACTTCTTGAATAAAAATTACTAAATGGCAAACCTGCACAACTAATACTCAATGGATCACTTAACACTCTAAATTGAAAAATGAGATGCAATAAATAAAGTAACAACCAAACTAGAGGCAGGGTTAAACAGATCTCAAGTCTAAAGCCATAAACTATATCTGCCTAAATTTAGACAGAGACACTTTCATATCAATTCTTCTTTAGGAATATTCTTTTAAATTTTAATTCAAAATTATTTGAACTGATTAGCAATAAAAAAAATTCAAAAGAAAAAGAGAGAAAAGATCAAAACAGAGCTGATTTTTTTTTCAATTTGCAATCCATCCATCATTCTAAATAAAAATTAAAACTCAGAGATGAAGAAATCGCTCAAATCAGACAATTAAAATATAAAAATGTCAATTATCTAAAGGATGAAATTTGAAAAGGGAAATGAAGAGTAAACACATAAAGCTAGGGAATATATCATACCTGGACTACTGGAGGGTGGTGCCGTGGAGGGGGGAGGCAGCGGCGCAGTGCGGTGGCGTCTTCGGCGTCGCTTTTCCGAAATCAGAGGCCCGCAGAGGCAAGAGTCGCACACTTCGGTGGGCGGCGACGCACAAGTGAACCTCCGTCGAAGCGATGCAACGGCGACTGGGATGATATTTTTGGGATTTGATGGTACTCAGTATTTGTGATGAGAACGTCTGACGAGGAAAAGGTATATGGTAAGAAGGTACGGAGTAAGACTCATCCTCCCACATTCTGTAATAAGGTAGTAGTAATTCTGAAATAAGGTAGTACTCATCTTCACACATTTATTCAATATAATTATAATATTCATTTACGAATAACGTAATGTTCATTCTCAAAGAACTTAGTATTCATTTTGTAGCAAAATAGTACTCATTCTAAATAAATTATGTAAAAAAATCTAGGGAGCAAGCAATCTTCTCTGCAACCTGTTCCTGGTATTCTCCATCTTGCATTGATGCCAGCACCACAAACTAGGACGACGACGAGGACGGGGGACGAACTCCATCTTCTACAGAAGATCCGTCAGCCGTCTGCTAGGGTTGCCGAGCCACATTCATCCATTACGTGCAGCCGGCCTATCCTTCAATCCAAAATTCAGGCCTCTTCTTCGTCGTCTTCCCTTCATCGGCGCTTCTCCTCCGATCCAAAATCGCTGGTCGCAGTAATTGCTCCTCTTCGTCGACTTCTATTGCCGCAGTAATCGCTGATTCGCATGCCTCTTCGCGCTAACTTTTAGACCGGATGTACCCAACTTTGGGTGCAGCCGGTTGTATAATATAATTTGCGTCTGAACAGTCTTGTTTTTAGTTTTTTTTCAGGGAAATGGGTGCTAAGGGAGATGAGGAGGTATATGGTACATCCGGATGTACCTAGAGATAGGTACATTTGGGTAGTACTCATTTTGAAGTAAAGTAATACTCATTCTCGTACAAATATAAAACTTCATTTCGAAATACGTAGTACTCATTCTGAAATAAGATAGTACTCATTTTAAAATAGCGAAGTATTCATTTTTACACATTTGTTTAATATAATTATAATAAATAACGTAATGTTCATTCTTAAAAAAAGCAATACTCATCCTCAAATAAGGAAAGACTCGTTCTCAAATAAAATTTTGTTCAATTCTTTCACAATTGAAAAATTCAGTACCATCATTATCCTCAAACATCTTCATCGGATCTTCCTCTATTCCCCGAAACAACAAGTTAGGCAGCTCATTGGATCGGATCTCCCTCCCAAAAATTACCAGGCGCGGATCAGATCTCTACTCTCAATCATAGATCGTCATCATCATCTTCTTCCACGATCCACTTCGGCTCGGATCTCTGCTCCCAATCCGATCGGATCTACCTGCCATAGCAGCCTCCTCTTCTTCCTCTTCAATTGCCAGATGCCATGCTCCGACCCGTTCTCTTCCTTTTCCGATTCTAATTTTTTCCGGCTGTACGGTTCTTATCGTACAGCCGGACGTAGGATATAATTTGCGGTGCTAAGGTGCTCTGTTAGTAAAATTTGACAGTTCTATTCTCTAAGGTCCCCATAAATACCCCACCCGTACTAACTCGAAGAACTCATTTTAATTTTGAAGTCAAAAATAATTTGGGAGTACAATTGAAAGGGTGGGGGCTCACATTGGGGTGGGAGGTTCACTGAGAGGTTAGGGGGAGTAAAACCATTAATTTTACGAATGGAGTACCGTAACACTTCGGGTCATCCCATGACATGAGATTCTAATCTTGCGGGAATCTCTCCATTCTTTTTCAATCAATTTAGGGTAGGAGGGAGCCCTCTTTGGAAAAAAAGTGTTCTCATTTGTTTCGGACACAGACACCAAAAAATGGTTTTCAAATCACAATTACAAGTCATGTCTCTCATTCACGTCAGATTACACTAAGGTCATGTTCTCTTTACCTAATCTGATCGGTTCTGATCTTATTGAAATAAATTCTAATCTGATTACATTTATATTTAAAACTATTTCTGATCTGGTATGGCCTGATTCTAATAAGGAATAAGTAATAAATAAAAAAAATAAGTTGAGGAGAACATGACCTAAATCCATATTTTTCATACTACAAATTGTAGTGTACATACTCTAATTTGCCAACTAACTACAATCATTTTTTAAATAGATAACTTAAACTAATAATATAAATTAATTTTAAAATAAGTTTAAAATTATTGAACTTTTTAATGTTCTGTCATTAATTTTAAAATAATATAAATATTTAATTAACACGATAACATTCATTTATTTAATTTAATTTTTTAAATTTTAAAAATAATTAAAACTATGTATTAAGGGTGTATAAATAAAGAGAATGACAAAAGATGCATGTGGTATGCTCGGTACAGACTTTCTTGCCAATTTTTTGGTACCATAACAGGTTCAACTTTTCCTATATATTGTTATAATAATACTTGGTCAGTCCATGAGTGTTTGTTCACTTTTGACTTTTGGAACTGTTCATCTAAACACTTTGACTCATCAAATTCTCTCAATGTGTAAGCCTAAAAATAGTCATGTGTGATCGTGTTTGATTCGTCTTAACATATAGACTATTAATATATAATTTTTTAATATACAAATTAAAAGATAAAATGGATTAAAGAAGTGTATTGGATGGTGTGCAAAAATGAAAATGGACAAACACTCAGGGACGGAGGGAGTAATAAATAATACAGAGTATTAATAATAATACAACAACCATAACAACCTAGTTGGATCCCATTAAGAAGCGTGTGTGTACTTCTTTGCTCTTACTCGAAAGTAGGGGGTTATTTGCAAGAGCCCCCAGCTCACTGAACAAAAATAATACTTCTTCTGTCCCCAAAGGATTGCCGCAATTTGACTTTTTTGGTCACGCAAATTAGGAAAAAAGTATATTTAGTGATGATATAAATTTAATAAAATTGGGTTTATTTTAAAATATAGTTTTGAAATATCAGTTTTTTATAATATTTAATTATTTTAGATTATACTTGATTCGTGGTAAAGAATGTTACAATTTGACCAAAAAATCATTTTGTGGCAATGTTTTAGCCTTTTAGGGACAAAGAGAGTATAAGATAATAATAGTACTAAAAGATCCCACGGGACACATAAAAAGCATAGAAAGCACATATAAAACTCAAAACACTTAGACAAAATGACAAACTAATGTTAACGGAAGAAAAATACAATAAATAGAGAACACCATGTATATAAGGCATACAATGTACACAACAAGTCCTGCAAAACTATCACATAGCCCAAATTAAAGCGTCTATCTAACTACTCTAATTCTATAACTCCAAACACTCTTATCTAAGGCCTCTTTCCAACTGTTTCTAGGTCTATCGTACCCCTTCCCTTACTCCCACCCACTAACGTAAATCTCTCGCATATCCCAAATCACCTAAACCTAGCTTTTCGCAGCTTATCTTCCACTGGTGCCATACTGATCTGTCCTCGAATAATCTCATTTGGGATCTTATCCAATCTTGTCTGCCGACACATCCACCGCAACATCCACATCTCTGCAACATGTAGTCAACGAGCATGGGGTTTTTTAACTATCCAACACTCTGAACCATAAACCATAGCTGGTCCGACTATGGATCGGTATAACTTACCTTTGATCTTAGCCAAAATCTTTTTATCTTCTCATCGCACAACAAGAATATTAACAATAGTGCACAAATGGTAAGTTTGTGTAGTTTGCATCCAAATTGATTGTGACTCTAGCATCATTCAACAATAATACTCCCCATGTCCCATAAAAATATCCCACATTTTCTTTTTCTCTTCGTTCCAAAAGGGGTTCCAACTTCCACTTCTGGAAAAGAATTTGTGGTCCTTATAATTTCTATCTTTTCTGCATTATTTTCAAGCATACTAATTCACTTTTCTTAATATTCGTGTCAATTCAAATGTAGCTTTTTATAGGACGATGAAAGTAATAATTACTACGTAGTACTACTATTAATAACAACAACAACAATAATAAAATGACAATCTGAATTTGAATTAGATTTAATCCATTATGATTGGAAGAGAACATCGTTATAAAATTTGAATTTGAATCAAACTTGATCCATTTTCTTTTTGATATATAATTGTACCGTAAGATTATTTTTGTTTGGTTGAAGCATCATTTTATTATTTATTCTTAAATTTTCTTTCAATTAGGTTAATAAAAAGTATTACTTCATTTGTCTCCTTATTTTTATCACATTGATTAGTGACATACAAATTAAGAAATGAAAAATTATATGATTAATATTAATTTTAAAATGTAAAGAAAATAAGTGGAACTCACAAAAAAATTAGTAATATGATTTCAGATAAAAAATAATTGTATATAGAGGTTTAAAAAATTAAAAATAGAGTATAAATTGTTGAAATAACTATGAAATTTATTAAATAAAATAATTATTTCAACACTTTTTATATTTTTTTCAACACTTTTTAATTTTTTCAAACACCTTCCAAATTATTACAATTCTTTCTAATTTTTCCAACTCTTTTCAATATTTCCAACTTCTTCCAGTTTTTCCAATTTTTTCCAATATCTTCCAACTCATAATTTTTCTCTTCTTCCAATTTCATCCAACATTTAACTCTGTTTTTACAACTGAAACGAAAAGAGCCTAATAGCAAAGTACTTAGAAGGTGTTATGGAGTGATTAATTAAGTGATTTTTACAAAAGGTGAAAACAAAAGCACCTTATATTTACTTCTCCGAAATGATATTCTATTTGTAAAATCATGATTTAAAAAAATATAAGTTGACATGCCAAATAGAGTAAAATAACTACCATCCAAAGCAAAAGCTAAATTTTTTTAAAGAAACACAATGCCAAACACCTTGTTGGTATTGTTTGGCATGCCATGGTTAGCACTTACATACCAAATAAGGTTTAAGAAAAAAAGTTTGGCTAGTGAAAACAACAACCATGGTAGGGATTTGGTTACTGAAAAGATAATTTAAAAAAACTAAAATACTATGGTCAAAACACTCTTTCAAAATTTACATCCTACCATTTTGCAATTAGCATTTCCAACCGCATATTCAAAATGCTAATTTACCAAATATCACAAAAAAACATTTTAACTTATTAAAAAATAAAAAATACTCTCTCGAAAATGCTAAAAAAAACTGAGCACATTGCTCATCAAAATGCTCTTTACCAGACATGTCCTTGTACTCTCATTCATTAACATCATTTCAGCTATCAAAGTATCAATCACTCACCAAATTTAGAACTATTTGCATGGAAAATATGGAAAAAGAGCACACACAGAGCTCTCCATACCCCCAAACACTAAACCTACAATAGTTCATCACAAGGCATTGTGATGTATGAAATGTGCAGAAATCTCATGGTAATGCCTCTTATATAGATCGACGACGAGATGAGTCGAGAATTCAATCAATATAAACTACAAGTCAAACGAGCCTTTGACGCCGTCCAAACTCTCTCCGAGCGATGACCTGCCAAGAGAAGGAATACGTTAAATAATGCGTTTGACTAATTATGAGGTGGGTAATTCTAAAATGGTATCGGGAAGGAGATACGTAATGATAAACTCAAACTACTTTTAAACCCTTTCCATTTTAATGCGACTCCGTATAAAAAAACCTTCATGTTACGCACTAAAAAAAATGATATGGAAAAGCCTAAGCTGGAGGTAAATCTTATTGTCTTCTAAGACAAAGTTCTAATTGATGATGAGGAAGGGACTCAAGTGCGTTTGGCTTCTGAGCTTGATTGGGAAGATGGGTATTTTAGGAAGAGATTAACGTCGATCGATTATCATGTGGTTTGGGTTTCACCATTTGGGTGAAATCTCAATGGGTGAAATCTCTATCGCGAGTATTCCTGACCTTCCCTAATCCACTTTGCCTCCACTTTTTGTAATCCAAACAAGGTAAGGTGAGCTAGGATCCATCGCCCCCCTCACTTTACCTTCAACCAAACAATGCATAAGCGACTAGCAAGTTCAAAATCCATATCCAGCATGACTCATGAGTTTTTGTGATGAGAAGACATCAAGTGCAAGGAAAGGCCTCAATGGGTGCTTCTCAGGAAGCTTACAAATATTTGATCATAAAAGCCAACTAAATGATCTATACACTTCTAACAAATTTGTAGTTTTCCTCGGCTGAAGTGCCAAAGGGAATTGCAATGGTAAAAATATCTGAAGAATTCTATATGACAAAATCTTTACACTATGCTTGGTTCCAGGAATTTGAGAGAGAAAAGAAAAGAAAGTGAGATGGAAAACAAATTTTCATGTTTGGTTAGAGAGGAAAAAGCATAAAAAAGTGGAAGGAAAAGAAAATAAGAAGACAAAATAGGCTAAGGAGAAAGAAAACTGGACTCCTTCCATTTTGGTGAGGAAAAGGAGAGAAATCCTTTTCTTTTCCTTTCCTTCAATCTTTCCTCGAACCAAACATAGGGTTAGTAGCCACTATATACCGGAAGAGTGGATTACAGCACCTAAAACTTTATAACTTGTTTTATTTTTGTTACGTGTTGACACCTCTAGGCTCTAGCTTTTAATATTAAAGTGGTATCAAATTCGAGGCTTATGCCTTGCATCAAATATACAAATTTCCTAGAGGCTTAAAAATGGCTTTCAAAACCTTGAATACTGTTAGTAAACAATAAACAATTAATTACTCCAGGAGCATGAAAACGCCTGAAAAGATTAAACAAACCCCGTATATCGTGCAATATGTGCAGAAACCTTACCTCTACTCCAAGGAGTAGATGGGCACACAATAGGTTGATAGTATGAATTATACCTGTGCATGCAGTACTTGTACTCTTGACTCCTGACCATATCTTTCTCCCCTTCTTCCAACTAGTACAGAATACAACCAACACGTAACTAAATAAAGTTACAGCACAAAGTTATATATAAGATTAGCAATGCATATAGGAAAATGAAAATCAATTTCTCTTACGGGATCACTCTCGTAAACAAGCTCATAACAAACTGGGGACAAGCATTGTAGAGCACAATTCTCCTTTGCTACCATTGAAGACTTGCAATTCTCACCCCATAAGCCACTTCTCAGTTCAAGGCAAAAAATTACTAATCAGTAATATCCATTTTCTCTTCTTCATAGCTACTTAATCAGGCAGAATTACGAAAACGGGTGATAATTTTCTTAATGAAAATCTTACTAAAAATCTCAGAGATAGGAAAAATGTCTATAAAGAACAACTTAATTAAAATCTTACTAAAAATCTCAGGTGGGATTCAAAAATCTATTTGACATAAGAATCTCCTAAGACAATGAACAACATTAACAAACTTTATTTATTTTGTTGTCCTAAAATAAACTTTATATTTCTCTCGTTTCATAAGAAAGAAATATTTAGCTCACAAATTTTTCTCGTTGAAAAAATTTAATCACACATATTTTACTTTTCAACATATTTATTAAACTCAGTAAAAAATATAATGAACTTCTTTACAAGACAGAGGAAGTATATAGTTATATACCGATATATAAAAAAATTCTCTATCCCAAATTTACCATATATTTTGACCGGATACGAAGTGAAAAGTGAGTGATTGGAATTGGTATGAAAGAGAAAAATAAAGATAACCACAAATTCATTACTTAGAAAAGGAAAGAGACTTATTTTGGACGGACCAAAAAGAAAATTGTGTTGTTTAGTTTGTTACGGAATGAGTAATACAAGTAAAAAAACACTCCCATCATCCCTAAATAAACTACTTTATCGCATGATAAAACTATATCATCTCTCTTTACTTATTTACTTTAATCAATTGTGACAATAAAATAATATTGTCACCACTTATGCTATAGAACTTTTGATTTAATTTATAAATATATATAGATTTATTTTTAACTTTTACAGAAATACGTAGTATATAAATAAGTCGAATTGAAAATAACCGCAAACTGAATTTTATTTAGGAAACTACTTATTTCATTTTGACAAATCTTCTAATGGTCACTAATGGAAAGCCTACATAAAAGGGATGTAAGATTCCAAAACATCCTAATTTTAGAGTTGAATAAAATACCTCTCGATGTCGGCATAACAATGGTTCTTCTTCTCTCGAATCTCCTTCTCCTATAAGAAAAGAAACCAAACCCGCAATCAATGCTATAATCTAGAAACCAACTAATAGGACACGAGAAATGAATGCTCACCGATATTGGGCGACGAGACTTGCAAAGAACTCCATTGATGGACAGAACAGAGATGAAAAAAATGGTTAACCCTACGAGTTTATAGTTCATAGTTGCTCACCCCTACGAGTCCGTCTTTGAAATATCTGCAAGCGTGCAGTTCTCTTTGAAGGATGAAGGAAGAGGATGTCATGGAGGTAAGCTTACAACAACTTACTGGAGTATTACTTATTTATAGACCACATAAACAGTTTTGAATATAAATAATGCTCTACTTGCACACCACTTGCAATCCATTCATCATTCTGAATAAATACATCTCAGAGAAGAAGAATCGCTCAAATCAGATAATTAAAATTTAAAAACTGTCAATTATCTAAAGAATGAAAATTGAAAAGAGAAATAAAGAGTATACACATAAAGTTGGGGATTACATCATACCTGGACTGCTGGACGGTGGTGCCGTGGAGGGCGGAGGCAGCGGCGCAGTGCGGTGGCGTCTTAGGCGTTGCTTTTCAGAAATCGCGGATTCATTTTCCCCTTTCCGCAATTCTTCGGAATCCTTCAAATATTTTAAAGGTATACTTTAAATATTTTAAATATTGATGTACGTGCACGAAAAATTCTATAACTATTTTATTAAAAAGATATTACATTAAATAAAACATAAAAATGTCAAAAACAATTTAATATCTTTGAAGGTGAAATGTTTCTTCATTGTTCTAGAAGTGAAATATTTTTAAATTAACAATAAAGAGTCTTATACATACTTTTTTTTAAAATTTTGCAATCAATATGTATATTTAAAATACGGAGTATATTTTACAATAGGGAAATATATGTTTATTGAATTGTTAGAAAATGTTAAAGTTTTATACAAAATATAATCAAAGTAATTTTTTTTTATTGCTAAAAAATAATATTCATTTAATATACTCCACCTAATTAAATAGTGCACATGTGGAGTAATACAATAAAATATATTGGGCTTGTTTGGTAATTGGCATTTCAGCCCATATTTGGCTGTTTGACCATATATGGCAGTTTTGACTAGTCAAAACAACCAAAAGTAATGTTTGGAACGTGGCTTTTAAGATTGACTTTTAGACCCAAACTGCTGAAATTTGAAAAGCTAATCAGTGCAGCATTTTCATTGGCATCTTGGAGTAATTTATTTATTTGCCCTTTCGTACATCTATACTCTGTATGGTATGACTCAAGAGATTTAAAATAGTGTATACTTTTTTTAGTGGAGTTCCACACATATTTAACAAAAAAGAATTATTCATATTATTTTTCATGTTGGACAAAGCAAAAAAAACTACACCAATAAATGTAATTCTCAAAATTTTCAACTACGCAGTCCAGTTTCAAGCACGTTATTTGTTTATATAATTTGGTATTTTTATCAAACTTTAAAAAAATTAAACTCATTACAATAACAAATTAATTTTTATATATATGGATATGGGAGGGATGTCTAAAAATGTAATTTTCACTACCAACAGCTGTTTATGGGTAGCTGAATTTGCCAAACAATTTTTCTTTAACAGCCAATACAATCTGTCAGTCAAAATTGCTAATTCAAACTGCCAGTCAAATCAGCCAACACAAACAGCCAACAGCCAACCGCTAATTGCTAATCTCCAAACAAGGCCATTAAAAGATCTTTTAAAATAAAGAAGCTTAATAAACCAATGAAATGCCTCCACCTAATTAAATAGTGCACATGTGGATGCACATGTGGCATGCCACATATCAACACCACAACCAATACACTCAACTTTACATATATATATATATATATAAAATAGAAAAATGGTAGGCCTTTGGTGTACCCTTAGCATTGCTCTTTAAAGTATTAGGTGAACCATGTAATTTTGGAAATGGACGCCAACGCAATTCATTTTCCCCTCTCTTTTTTTTTATTGTTTTTTTTCTTTTCTTTTCTCGTAAAGAGAAGAAAAATATTTGTGTGTGAAAGAATGAAAAATTATTTTTTCAAAACCAACATTTTAATAATTTTTTTAAAAAATAAAAAAAATGAAATAAAAAATTTAACATATACTTCATTTGTCAAATTAAATATTTTCACTTTTTGTCTAAATATATTTTTATTTTTTTGAATATTTCGGGACCAAGAGAATATAGAGTAATGTTTTTTTAATATATATTTAATTCTATATTAATAATATTTTTTGGACCAATGCGTAAAAGATATTTTTCGTGACTTAATTTTCCATATTCTAACAAAATATTCTTTTCATATACTTTTGTTTTCTTTATTTTCTTTTCTATTCTTCTTTCTTTTATTTTAATTTTGATTAAAATAAAAGAAAAGGCATAAAATTAATGAAAAGAAAATGAGAATAAGTTTTAGTGAAAAAAAGAGAATATTTTATTGATTTCGTATCATAAAAATGAATCAATAAAGACCTCTTTTGAGAAAAAATGAAAATATATAATTTGAGATTAATGATGAGTGCTTTAATTCTTTTTATTTAATTGATATTTATTGCAAATACAAAAAATTTTGATTATTAAAACATTATAAAAAATAATTTTAAAAAAGAAATTAAAAACATTTATGAAACAAATAGTAGAAAAAAACAATAAAGAAAAGATGGGCGTTTGTGCCAATTTCCAAAACCATATGGGATAGTGAATCTATTCACATAATATTTGAAAGATATTTTAGTCTTGAGGAGCATTAGCGCAGTAATATCGGAACTGTAAGGGGGAACGATAAGTTTTGAAACTATATGGGTAATGGTGCACATTTACCAAACCGCAGGGGTCATGGTGCAATAAACTCTATACGAGTGAGCTTTTAATCTTTCGTATCACTCCTAATTACACTTGTAATACGACTATAATTAACTTAATTGTACACCAAAATGGGGTATCCCATCACGCATAGACATTACGTGTTTGTGTGTGTCTGTGATGACTTAGTGTACAAATGGGGTACTCCATCTTGTGTGTGTCTGTGATGACTTGGTGTACAAATGGTGTACTTTAAAACCTATGAAATAAATACGACATATATGAACTAAAAAGTGAAAAAATTCCGAGATAATGAAGAACTTACAGACTGACTTCAGCAGAGGAAAAAACGCAGTCAATGACTGCTATTCAAAAAACCCTAAACATATTCTTCTCAAAGGAAGTCACTGACTTCCATTGAAATTATTTTTTTTACTTTGACCGGTCTGCCGCGCACACTTCCACCGAATTTCATATACTCCATATTATTTTTAATTTCTCAAAGGAAGTCAGCAACTTCTTTTCCGACCGGTCCACTTTCTCATTTTTTTACTCTTTATTTGTTTTTTTTTGTTTTAAGTTAATTTCTACTTTTCAAAAGAAAAACTTAATTTATATTAATTTTTTTAGAATTGATTTAATTGAAGAAACAATTAAAACAAGAACTCATATGATGATATAATTTATTTGACATAATAAAATTTCAAACAACAAAGTTACATTCATAACATAAATAAGATTTGTTCAATAAAAGTCAACAGAAATTAAAAAGATAATCTAAAAGAATAAAGTATTTTTAAACCAGCACATAGAAATGTGAACATTCAGTTTTGATGCCTTGCAACTCTGTCCATCTCTCCCACGAATCGATTTCGCTATCGACGACCAGATAGAGAAATTTCTTTAGCGGGCCTAACTGGAGGTAGAATCCGTAAATTCCTGTAAATTGATTGTTGTGGGAAAAATACGGGGTTGATTTGTACATCGTAACACCTCATATATTGTTCAACTGAGTACATTGAAGAGATTTCACCGTCAGCCAACCGTCGAAAAGAATGAATTAAAAAGTTATAGATGTTAGATGAATTAAACCTCGATGTTCTGCTTACCACATATTCTTGCCCACCGTAATGCACAGCTTGAAAAAGTTGTTTATCTTTGTCACGCTTCTGAAAAATATTTGTGATTTTAGGAGTAAATAAATAATTTTTCCTCTAACACGCAAAACATGCTTTACGTCGTGTCTCGAACTGATCAATGAGTTTATTATACGACATTGTGACAATAGCAGTTACAGGTAGCATCCGACAACCCTTTAACATGTTAATGAAGCTCTCTGAACTGTTGGTAATAAGTATCCCACATCGATGACCGCCATGTCTTTTTGAAAATCGTGGATGCTAAGAGTGCTCCCTACCGCCCACATGAAGCACTGTTAAATTGTTCTCAGTAGAAGTGGCGTACTGAGTGAGGCTTTTTCTTCTAGCTATTTCTTCCAGAATTCTGGACTGTAGTTCTTTAACAATGGGAGTCCACATTTTGTCTTCTTGCCATTTGTTCTCGAATCAGTTAAATTATCCTCAATCTAGCCGTTTAATTGTCAAGGAGTTAATCTCCCTTGGCAACAGATAGAATTCCTTCAATCACGACTTAGATTATTTTCATAGTCCTTTTTCTTTCTCACTTGTCGATCGAGAGTTCCGATTCATTGAGAAATCCAGCTCTTAATTCTGACAGTTCCGAATAAGTGATACTGAGACTTCCGGGTGAGATAGATATCCGATGTAGTCTTCTGAGAGACAGAGGGATCAGCGCTAGTGCTAGTTTTCTGAAGTGTAGATTTCCGGAATAGTAAACAGCGCTAGCTTTCCTATTTTACACGGATGGCTATGAGACTTCCGGGTAGAGCTTGAGTCTTTCGAACTTTAGAATTCTGAAGCGGTTAACTTCTTTGAGAATTCCATTCTTGAATATGATATCTTCGAGTGAGATTTTCGATTTCCATGTCATTAATTATTGACAGATCTTCAAACATATTTGCTCAAATCTCAAGACGAAATATCACAAGTTTCATTTGAACTCAAGAACTTGGTTTTAACAAAATTTCTAAGAAAAAAAATTACATTAAATTGCGGGGTAGGCCTAAAGACCCTATTACATCCATGGAAGCACCCGCTCGATACGACGTCATCCAATGTCGGCTGGGTGGGACCACCTACTCACATTCATGAGCAGATCTACAACCCCGTGCACATGCTTTACCCAACTGATCATGTAAGCACGCCGGCTCAACACATGACCAGTTACTCCTAAATATATTTTAATTCTGTTTCTCAGTCTACCTATAATTTCATATTTTCATATTCATATAATTTCATATTTCCAAATTCATATAATATCACGACATGTGAAATAAGCATTCATAGTCAACAATTAGTGGCCTAGTGTCGGGTGTAAACATCTTCCACTTACCGTCATTCAACACATAAGGTCTCAAAGTCAATTCGGGTCTCAAATCGGGACAAACAGACAATTAACTGGTTGAAAAAGAGCTGTCACGGTACCTCGGTACCGCCAGGCGGTACCTTGGTACCGTCGGCCCAATAACTCCTTATCGTCCGGGCACAGGTACCTGCAGTGACGGACGGTCGTGATGGTTGTGGCGGTAGCAGGGTACCATGCGGCAATACCTAGCTACCGTCTCGGTCGGAAACGGTACAGAAACAGTAGAGTTCAATCCAATTCCAAATCATTCAATACGTATTATGTTTTTTTAAAGATTATTATCATG